CACCAAACCAGCATAGCAACAACAGTACAATTAAAAACAATTAAAATCAGTAACACTACAGCAGCATTCAAATATGCTACTAAGGCCAGCAGATATATTCAACCTAGTATCAGATTCAGGGAGAGAAACATCTCCAGACCAGCAAGCCATCAAAAAACAGAAGTAGGACAGTCACAGGGAAGAAAATCAACTGAGCAAGACCAGGCTGGTGAAACGGAAAAGATCAGCGACTGTAAAACCACAATCAGCAGAAAGCTCGGGGGAGGGGGAGGAAGATTCGACTCTCTAGAAATACGGTCAGTGCACAGAGGGGGAGTGTTCTAGATTGTTGGCTAGAAGGCTGGGAAAGGCCTGTAGTACCATTGCTGGCAAGATCAGGGAAATCTTTCCTGCCAATCCAGAAGCCGGTGCTCAGATAGTTAGACCGCTGGTCTTTCTTCAGATTATGGGAAGTTTATGGGCTGCTGTTGTCTTCCCAACTCCAGTTATCTCAAACAACAAGTGTATTTTTACTTGCCCCAAATGAGCACATTCTTCTGTGTCTTTCCACCAGTTCTGCACGTAGATTCCGCAACTGATGTTAAGGTAGGAATAGGCGACTGTACTGAAATCTGTATCCTCCCGTACTATACTGCAGTCTGTCATCTCTGAAACTTGAAGGGAAGGTAGCTGGAAGATTGTATGCCTTATTGGGACAAATAGCCAGAGGATTGTATGCCTTGTGAAACTGTTGGAAAAAATAGCTGGAGGATTGTAGAGTTTGTGTAGCTTTAGAACTTTGGAGAGAGATCTAGCCATCACATTTTTATCTCACCCTTCCACCAGGGAAGTTGTAGCAGCGTAATATGGCTCTTCTTCATTTTGTCCTTAACACAACTTTGTCAGGTGAGTAGGCTGAGAGAGACAATAACTAGCTCGAGATGACCCAGTGAATTTTTTTGAATAAATAGGGATTTGAATTTAGACCTTCTGTGTCCCAGTTCAGCAGTTTAGCCGCTGCACCACTCTTGAGTTTCATTATAAGGTTCCTTACCATGTTCTCTGTAGTCAATTATGAGAGACAGTATTGGACGTTGCAAATGTCGTTGGCACAAAATCGTTGAAGGAGGGCTTTCCGATGCTATTTCGACTCATTCCTCCATACTTTGGTGCCAGTAGGTTTAGGCTGTCAGGATGCTTTGAGGATCAGCCTGGTCACCCTACATAAACGATTTGTGTGCCTCCTGATTATTATTATTATTATTATTATTATTATTATTATTATTCACAGTGAGAATGTCCTCGGAGCATTTGTGAAGTCTCAGTACAAATTGGATTGCCCCAAATTAACAGTTTAGGTGACCTCACGCTTATGAGAATCAATGGCTGCATTTCCCAGCTGGAGAGATGAGTTTAATTAGCCGTGTGGCAATTGGGAAGAGCCGGCTTTGCAATTAGTAGAGGGCCGGGTGGTTCAGCCTGCTCTCTCCAAGACAAAGAAGAATGCACCAGATAGGTCCTGGGGCCATCATTGGGCAGGGGAAATTTGGGCAAAGTTCCTTTCGGTGGAAATTAGGGGAGCCTTACTTCCCAAATCTTTGGGGATCCTTCCCTGCAAGTGCTTTTTTCCCCACTGGCAACCAATCTTCCTCTATGCACAGGTTTTTCCTTTCTCAATTTATAGTTAATTTATTTGCCACCCTAGTATTTTTATTTTCTGCCGTTTATATCCTAAATAACACCTTATCTGTAGCAACCAAACTCGTTCAGGGATATTAAAATAGCACCTGTACCATTTGATCATATAAATACTGTGGTATGCCACATAATGCAATGAAATCTGTTGATTGTGGGCATGCATGCTGGATTCTTTTTTTCTTTCCAGAAGTACAGTGATGCTCTCACTCAATGTGAAGGGGATAGTACAACCTGCAGGAAGGGTTTGTGTGTATCATGTTACTGGCTAAACATACTATCTGGGTAGCCCCTGAAAGTCCCTTCATTGTGATGACAGAAGTTGCAGCCCTGCTCCCAGTTTACTATGTGTACTTCACATCCTGTGGTTTTCAGTAGGACTTGTGTGCACAACGTGATGTGGGATGGCAGGCAAAAATGATTAGCATGTCATCGGTACTGTGTTATGCTTGCAGCACTGAATCTTCTGATTGGCTGAGCTGATGATGCTGCGGAATGTTCACCCGCTCAAGGAGAGAAGCAGTTTGTGGTCCAGCTTCTGTGAGGAGAATGAGCATTGTCTGTTTGGCTGGAACTAAAACCTCACAGAGCAGCAGGACAGAGGCTGAGAAGAGGTGAATGGGAAGCAAGGAAGCTGAAGGAAAGGTACAAAGTGGGTGATGGACGGAGAAAGCAGAATATGTGGGTAGAGAGGCTCGAGAAAAGGGGCAGAGGAGACAGGGAACTGAGACAGATAGGAGCTCTGAGGCAAAGGAGGCTCTGAAGAAACTTGACAGCTGGACCACAAACTGCTTCTCTCCTAGAGTGACTGAACGTTCCTCAGCATCATCAGCTCAGCCAGTCAGAGGCGTCACTGCTGCAAGCACAACACAGTACAGATGACG